AAAAAAAGAAATAATAGTTCTTAATCAAACTCCTTAGAAAACAAATCCCTTCCCCCAAATCATTGTCCCCTCCCTTCACTTAGACCCAACCCCTTTCTTTTAGGAAAGTAAGTGCAAGGTTAAAGATGAAAGGGCTACTATAGGTAACAGACACAGACAGTTGGTTAGTTGTTGTCCTTCATTCTCAAGAGGGACCAAAATGACATCACTACGTGAGAGTCAAGTTTTAGTGCGTCTGGCTGTGGCTAATCAGACCAATATGAGCTCAGAACGCTCTACCACTGGTTAGGCACAAGTAGTCCGTGTGAACATTTGGGGTGGTTTCTCTAGATTTGCACATCCGGCATTTCCTGCGAGCTGTTTCAATTCTGCTTTGCTCATAGAGGACAGCACCTTCTCTGATGTGGGCACACCATGCTGAGTGGTCCTGTGCCAGTGTCTCCCATGTCACACAATAAGCTCTAAAGTTCTTAAGAGAGACCTTGACAGTGTCCTTCTATTGCTTCTTCTGACCACCACGTGAACACTTACCCTACGTGAGTTCTCCATAAAATAATTTTTTTGGCAAGTGTACGTTTTGCATTCAAACAACGCAGCCAGCCCATCAGAGTTGCACCCTATGAGGCAGAGTTTGAATGCTTGGCAGTTTAGTTCGAGAAAGGATCTCAGTATCTGGTGTCTTATCCTGCCAGGTGATCTTCAGAATCTTCCTAAGACAATTCAAATGGAAGCGGTTCAGTTTCCTGGCATGGTGCTGGTATACAACAATGAGGTCAGCACAACAGCTCTGTAGACATTCAGACTTCTAAGGCTCATTCATTGATACTGTTATTAGCAGTTTTTTTCAGATGGTTTTCTGAATTCTTGCAACACAGATAAAGGGAATCTTCTTTGTGACCTGTCTAGAAAAGGTCTGGAGCATGCCCACTGTGGGATCCACTATTAAATACGGTGCTGCACATCACATTTCCAATCTTTTCTGTCATTTCTGTGATGGGTCCAATGAACCCACATGGAAGGAAGCCACATGAAACTAATGTTGAGGTCGAGTTCACTTTTGGGGTGGGATGCCATGTTTCCTTCTTCTTGTGTTCATGGATTCAAGCCTCTGCATTCCTCTTGGATACACACATCACTCCTAGGTTCATCCAGGTCATCAATGGAGCAGAAAGTAGCTCAACTTCCTCACCTGCTCTTTATTATCAGGGTCTTTGCATTCGATGGCCATGATCCCTTGTTTTTCCCAGGTCAATATTCTTGTCTACTGTTTCTTCTCTCAGCAGATTCTCTATAGGCACTTGCCCTTGTGTCTGGGTGACCAGAGCTGATCTTTTACTTGATTTGAAGAAAATAATTCAGGCTGTTCACTGGAAGGTCGAATACTGAAGCTGAAGCTTAAATACTTTGGCCACATAATGAGAAGATGTTACTCATTAGAAAAGACCCTGATGTTGGGAAACATTGAAGGCTAAAGGAAAAGTGGATGGCAAAGGATGAGACAGACAGATAGTATCATGGAAACAATGAACATGAACTTGGACAGACTTCAAGAGATAATGGAAATATTGACTAAATAGAAGGGCCTGGCATTCTATGGTTCATGGGGTCATGAAGCATTGGACATGACTGAACAACAACAAAGCCTATACATGGGAAGGTGTCCTGGCATTAGACTGATTTGAGTTTTTCCAAGTTCCATTATCCTTTGCAGCTTGGAAATCTCTCATAAATTGGTTTATTCTGTTCAGCAGAGGATCACACTTCAAGAACTTTTGTTTCTCCTTAAGATGAGTTAAGCATGCCTGCAGTTCTTGGGGGGTTATCTTATACCCTGAAATTCTTGTTCTAGCTTAGCCACATTTGCTTCCTCAAGTTTTATTGTTCTCTCTATCAGTCTCTGCAACTGATTCTCTATCCATATTGCTGTGGTCTCAATGGGGAACCACCTCTTACATTTGTATCCCCCTTGGCTGGAACATAATAGGGCTCAATCAATTCTCGTTGATTAAATTCCCTAATGGATAAGTGGTCAAATGAGAGGAACAACATAGCTTTCAAAAGAATTGAAAATTATTAATAACTATATGAGACTGTTCCAAATCACTTAATACTGAGAGAAATGCAAATTAAAATAACTTTGAGGTTTTACTAAATTGTTCAGTGCTCGTGGTTCTAAGGGATTTATAGCGGTTTTCAGATTGTAGTTGGAAAGCTCGAGGTCATAACCCAACAATCTAGCATGCTCTACCTATTCACGTCTCTTCCTTTAAAACAAACAAACAACAACCACTGATTAATGTTCTTCTCACTCTGGGCACTCCATTAATCTATATTTTTTAGGGTTTATACTCAATTCAGGCCATATGAATTTATACTTGTTAATATGTTCCTTTGTAAGTGTTTTCATGTTTTATGTATGCATGGATGGTGTTTTTATTTCCTTTGACTCTCCTCTGTCTTGTACAGTACATACCTAATAAATGTTGCTGACTGTCTCCCAGTCCTTTTCCCTTTTACCATAGTGCCTGACCACCTGCTTGATTTCCCTACCTGAAAACTCCCTAAGGGGCAGAGACCATGCTTCCTCTTCTGTAGATCATCTTACTAAGCAGCTGTGATGTGGTGGAAAAACCACTGAGTTTGGAGTTGTAAGACCTGGGTTCAAATTCTGCCTCTGGCACCTAGTAGCTGTGTGACTTGGGACAAGTCACTTAACATCTACAAGACTCAATTTTTTTCATCTGCAAAATGAGGCTATTGCTATTTGCATTACCTGACTCTCCAGACTGCTGCAATCCAATGAGAAAACAGTATGTGTGAACTTTGAACACAAATATATTCAGAAGTGATGTGCACATCGCTCTCATGAGGAATGGTTAAATTCTAGGATCCCTAGGGCCTTGCAGGTGGAGATCTGCCTTTTTCTCTTTCTCGTAATAATAGCTGAAAATAAAAAATAATATACTTGAGAGTGTTAGCACCGTGGTGAAGCCAAGTGACTTGAAAGTGAATCACTCCTGTGGGCCCCACCCCCCTTCTTGAATCATTCAGTAGCTGAGGCAGGAGATGGAGAGTAACACAAATCAATCAAGAGAAAAGGGTGTTGGGACCATAATTGCTTTTATTCTTGCTCCAGGGACATTGACAGCCTACGGGAAGAAATTTAGGCAAATGAAGGGAACAAGTGTCAGCCATGGGGTAGACATCAGAGGAATTCAGGCAACAGAGAAACAAACGTATACAAGCTAGAGGGGTTTGTGGCAAATCAGCCCTGATTCCTGATCCCAGGTCCTGAATCCACTTTCCCAGCTCAGCCCTGAAGTGCCACATGGGGGCAGCAAAGATGTCAAAACCCATCCCTTAATAGTGAGAAACCTGAGATGCTGATGACTTTCAGGTAGGTATTGGACAGGGTGAGGCAGCAACTTTCAAAGTATCTCATCATTACAAAGAGATGGGGGAGGGAAATGGTGAGGAAAACTAATCAAGGAAACAGGATTCCTAGGGTCTCCCCTGCATGATCCTGAAGAAATCAAGATCTGCTATATTTTTAGCCTTTATTCAGCAGGATTGGACAGTAATTTATGTAGAGGATCTTGGTAGGAGTGACACCAGAGATTCCCATGAACTCTCACCTCCCAGTCTGGCTCTGGAAATATAGTTCCCCCCCTCCCCTGGGCTGGACTCTTGCCCGTGGTCAAGTTCTCAGGTACTCCTTGGTCTTTTAATAAAGTGTTCTGTCCTCAGCTCTATTTTTCACCCCCAACAAAAATGTGAGGTACAAAGGGAGGGGGGGTGGGAATGACCCTTCTTCCTCTCCAGCCTGTGGCACCTGCCCAGTTTTGATTTCTTGTAATCCTGCATTCCTGCTTCCTCGCCCTTTCTCCTCAAAAGGTTCATCCAGGTGTTTCTGGGGCTTGTCTTTCACGACTCCAACCAGCTCCTGTGTCTTTCCCGGAGGAGGAAAAAAAACTTGGGAGGTGGGCTATCTGCATCCTTTCCCCCTAATCTTGTGAACTTGATTCCTCCTTGGGCCTCAGTTTCTTTTCCTGAAATGCTGAGATCATTCAAAACTTCAGACTCCTTCCCATAGCACACAAAGGAATCAAGCACGTGGTTTTAGCTCAACAAACACAAAGAAAGGAACCACAGTGATTCCCATGATTTTCACTGGTTTCTATATCCTAGTCACATTCTGAATAGGGGTAGGTGTTTTTTTGTTTTGTTTTGTTTTGCTTTTAAACTGAGGATAGACTGAGATCTCTCCCTACATGTTTAGTTCTCAATTCTGGAAAAATCTTTTGCTCCATTTTTGGGGAAGTGAAGACTGAGAAAGCAAGAGGTGTCTCTACTATCCACAGCTAAATGACAAATCTTATTTTTCAATCATTTCAAGATCCAAAATTTCCTAGCACCTACCATTCTGGTCCTCAACACTCTACTCTTTCATCGCATGGGGAATCTGAGGCACAGAGCATGGAGAAGACTTGTCTAACAACCAGGATCCAATCCAGCCTCAGGCCGATCAGGTTGGGAGATCTCTCCATGGGAAGTAAAAGGGATATCAGAAGATTCGAATCATCAAAAACGGCATCAATTTCCCCAATGTTCCGGACTCAGGCTACATCTCACAAGCTAGCCTGCCCATTCTGATTCCCAGAGCTGTAAACAGCATTTTTTGTACCGGATCAAACTTTGCAAAATGTACCTGGGGCGAACAGGATTAAAAGCATCCAGTTCCTCAGAAGGTGAGAATGAAACTCTATGGCACAGCAAGGCCTCTCTGCTTTGGGTTGCATAGTTCACTTGGGGTGCCTATGGAAGAAGTACACCTTTAGGTAGCTTTCTAGTTTAACTGTTCTTGCTATTTGGTAATTAAACCTTTTTTTTTTTTTTGGTGAGGCAATCGGGTTAAGTGACTTGCCCAGGGTCGCACAGCTAGTAAATTTCAAGTGTCTGAGATCAGATTTGAATTCAGGTCCTCCTGACTCCAAGGCCGGAGCTCTATTTACTGTGCCACCTAGCTGCTCCCATGTTCTTGCTACTTGGGCACTAAGCTCAGTTGTTTCTACCCTGCTGAAGAAATATATATGCTGTGAGGGGCCTCTAAATTTGTACCACTCTGAGAATCCCAATCACCCCACTCTAGCCACAGCCCAGCTAACTGCCTCCTGCTCCAATCCCCTGTTGGCAGGTACCTTTGCCCCTTGAATACTCAAAGATATCACAAAGCTTTCAATCCTTTTGGGCCTTGTCAGATAGAAGTACCAAGGGGTGGGAATCAAGGGGCAGTATGGGGAATTTAGAACATCCCACTTCCTTCCCTAAATGGAAAATCTTAGCTCAGCCTCAAAGCCCAGGGAAGTTCTTGCTCATGCAACAGGCATCCTGTGCAGAATGAGCATGCAAAAAGGAGGCTAGAAGGAAAGGTGGGAAGAAGGAACTCTGATGGCTGGGGTGAGGGGCTTCAACATTTCATCCAGTAATTTTCCACTGGTACCAGAGCCACCATAGCATGAATGAGTAGCCAGCTCCTTCCCTCTCCACCCCCACGCCCCCAGGCTTCACTAACTGAGTCCCCTCCCATATGCAGGCTACACTGCCAGAGGCTAGGTGGCTGACGCACACGCACCTGCCCAGGATCCCAGCTGACCGCCCAGGCGAAAAGGGGCCCCAGCCTCATCACAACCCGGTTCTTATCAGGGGCCTGGTTGAATTAGCCATAGGCTGGCCAGTTTCCAAACTGAGGAGATGGGAAGATAAAGAGGAGAGAAGGGGCACACTTGACCCCTCAGGGGAGGTTGGGGAAAGCAGCTGGTTGGGGTGACCTGGACTGAAGAGGGGGAGAGAATGGAAGCTGGGAAGGGTGAGAAGTGTCTTCTCTTTGGAGTATGTAGAGATAGGCTCTGGCTTGGGCATTTAAGACCTGGGTTTGCTATTTGGCAAGGCAACAAGCTAGGGAGGCACTTTGGGGAAATGGAGTGCAGAGAGGTGGCCACCCCAGGATGGGGGGAGGGAGAAGGGATTCCCCTGCCGGGGATCCCGGCACAGTAGCTATTCTATCTCCCATCCAAACCAGTACTTTTTTTTTTTTTAAAGGCTCTTCTCTGTTACTCGCCAGAGTAGGGCCCAGGAACCATTTCTACTTTGCACTATTCACCAATCCCAAGTCCTCTCCAGTCCTTAGAATCTTAGGAAGACAACTTGAGGATCTAGAAGGGAAATGACTCTCAATTCTTTTAGCCAGCTCTATACCACAGGGAGGCAGAAGGTACATCAAGGGCTGTTCTACATCTCTCAAATAACTCCTTTGATTGGGCATATCTGGGCACTGACTTGTTATTTCTTTAGGCTGTGATCTCCTTCTGATATGTGACTCAGCTTGGTACCTCTATTCCCTGTCTCACTATCAGAGGCATCAGAGCAGACCTTTAGACAAGACTGTTAGCAGGGGCTCACTTCTCCCTGCCCCTGCTACTCCAGGGGGCCCAACTCTACACATACATCTTTTTAGCACTGTGTTGGAAACGCAATCACAGATCTAACTGAAACTCCCACATGTACAATGAAGGGCCATTTTAAGGATTGCCATTCTTTAAACAGGATTCCTCATTTTCTTCCCCCAAGTATAATAGTATCACAGACAAGCTCATAGCTTTGGAGCTAGAAAGGACCTCATTTTATACATAGGGTACTGGGGCTTAGGGAGGCTAAGGGTGTTGTCTAAGGTCACATACGTAGAGCACAGCTGACACAAGACTCAAACCCAGTTCCTGTGACTCTACTACACCATGCCGCTTCTGTGTATCTTCAGGGTGTGAATCTTGGTAGGCTATGTTACCCTCTTATGCCAACTTATCCCCTTCCATAAAATGCTTCAGTTTTTGACCCAGGGAAAGGTAGGAATGAGGGCAGTGACAAAGAGGGGAAACAGTTTTCTCCCAAATCTTCTGGGGTTCAGGATTCAGCTCACCCTTGGGTCCCTATGTTGACATCTAAGTTCCTACACCATTGTCTGCCTTATCCCTTGGACTCTTAACACCCCAAAACTAAGGTAGGAGATAGGGAGTACACTGGATTTACAATCTCACGTTTGGAAATGGAAATGAGAGTCCTGATGGTCAGGGAAGCAGGAAATTTAGCGACTCCAGTCCTTTAGGCTTCTGGAATTCCTCACATATATACAACCTACAGAAAATAACTCCAAGAATGCTGTAGAAGGAGCATAGCTGGCAGAGGGATAATGGCTAGGATGATGTTTAGTGCTATATCTTAGGGGCTAGGAAAGAGCAGGGGATGGATGTTACAGGGGGACAAACGGGTTGCATTTCTTGGAGTTGGAAAAAGGGAAGCCTTTTCAATCTCGGTTGGTGCCAAAAAGCTGCAGAAAGAAGGAGAAGATGTAGACGATGTCCAGATAAATGTTGAGTGCTCCAAAAATATATTCCTCTGGGCTCAAGGAATAGCGCCGGTTTCCCATCAACAGCTGTGTGTCAAACGCCAGGAACTAGAGGGGCAAAAGGGAGAAAGAGTTATTACTGTCAGAGACTGTTCTGAGAAGGGTTGCCACTAGCGTATGTTATGAGGTTGATCTTCTGGTTTGATCTTTGGTGTCCCTCATCAAAATTCTGTTGGGAATGTCCTGCTGATACCTGGCTGCTCAGGCCCATAGACTCATCCATTGGGCCCTTTACCCCCTGCACTAAACCATTCCTAACCCTCTTCTCATACACACCAATTCTGAACCTACCTGTTTTCCACCCCAATCTCTCAGAGATCTCTCAGCTATAAGATAAATTAATCTAGTTTATGTATGATTCTTCCGGGACCATATTTGCAGGAGGCAATGTGGCATCATGGAAAAAAAAAAGTATTAGATGTAAGAACCAAAAGATCTGGGTTCAGTCTTGTATCTATGTTGTATGTATCTTTAGGTACATATTCTCTCCCCCAATGGAAGAAGTAAGCTCCTTGAGGGCAGGGATTGCTTTTGCTTTTTTTTTTTAAATCCCAGCATCTTACATTACCTTTGACATAGTGGGTTGACTGTATGAATCTGGAGGAGTGACTGAACTCCAGTTTTCTTTTTTGCATGTGATTTGCATAACAATCACTTCTCCATAGGGAAGAGAGTCCTTAGTGGGCAAAGGGCTGTGCTTGGCCCGGCTGGGTGTTTTTTGTTTTTTGTTCTTAACCATACACTCCAACTGTACAGCCTGGAATCCTAAGCTGCTGCAGCAGCAGCTCCTTCACTGTATCTCATCAGATCACTGACGGAGAGCTGGAAAGGACCTCAGAGGTTATCAGAAATTAGATAACTAGACAGTCCAACTTGCTCATTTTATAGATAAGAAAACTGAATCGGGGGAGGGGAGAGTAGAAAGGAGTGAAAACAGATTTTTGTTCATTGAAAAAAGGAAAAGAAACTAAAATAAATTAATAAAAGAATTGAAATCCACAGAGGGGAAGTGACTTGCCCAACTTAACATAGGCTGTCCTTTACATGTCCTAAGCAAGGACAGCTCCTCTTTCTTTCCGTCTCTTGTGCATAAGACCCAGGTTGCTTTTTTTTCCTTTTTCTTTTCAAAAGCCCTTAACTCCTACCAAGCCTTCAATCTAGGACCTTGGTCAGCCTCACAAGGTCCAGGTGGCTACCTGCTGGCTTGTCTGTCTGGTGTGACATGAGGGAGTACTTAATGGACAGGGATCCCTACCTCAATATATCAACATCATTGACTGTTATTCTCTTCCTATAATCTTCTTCCTTTAAATTTTGCAAGAGGTCGCTGTTAAAAAGCAAATACCCTTGGGTGATGTTAAACCTAGGTGGATAAAGCACTAGGCCAGGAGTCAGTAAGACCTGGGGTTGAATACAGCCTTAGGCATTTACTAGTTGTGTGAATCTGGGCAAGTCACTTAACCTCTCTCTGCCTCAGTTTCCTCAAGTATAAAATGGGGATCATAAGAACACTTAACTCCCAAGGTTGTTGTGAGGATCAAATGAGATAATATTTGTAAAGCATGTAGCACAGAGCTTGGTATATAGTAGGCACTTAATAAATGTTATTTCCCTTCCCTACCTTTCTCCCTTAAACCTTATCAACAGAACAGCTTAGCTGATAGTCACTTGAGAGCAAGACCCTGAAGAAAAGGGACACTGATAAGGGCAGGAAGGAGGAAAAGGATCCTGATTGGAAAGTTGACAGGGAAGGACTAAAGACCAATTTTCTCATTTTACATTATCAATTAGCATTGTTCCAGATCACCATTACTCTAATCCCACCCTCAGCTAAACCCCGTTCATTTGTCATAGAGCCTGCCTTTAATGCTTTTCCAGGTCAATATAGGAGGGTGTGACCTTCCAGAAGGTAGGAGGTGAACACATCTGGGTGACATCCCGAGAGTGTCTAGTAATAATAATACTGATGATAATAATAATAGCTAGTATTCACATAGCTCTTTAAGGTTTATAAAATACTTTACACACATTATTCCAATGAAGTAAGTGTTATTATTATCCTCATTTTACAGATAAGGAAACTGAAGGTCACATAGGTAGTAAGTACCTGAGGCAAGATTTGAGCTCAGGTTTTCCTCACTCCAGGTCCAATACTCGATCTACTTCTAAGGACTTTTTAGTTTTTGACTGGTTTATTGGAGTGAAGGGTGGCGAAAGGAGGGAGTACAAAGAGGGACTGAAAGGAGGTTAAGAGTGAGACAAAGAGAGCCTTTATGGCAAGATCCTAGGCTCTGGGAGTATCAGCACTGAGAAGAAGAATCTGGAAAGGTAGCATCTGTGGAAAGAAAACATTTAGGGATGGGAACTGTGGTATATACAGGATTTCTCCTCTTGTTTCAGTTACCACCAAGCTCTGGGTTTCCTTTGAGACAGGACAGTCTATGTGTCTACAGAAGTGATTGCAAAAGTAAAGGATCAGAAAAGTACTAAAGTAGAGTCACTCATTCTGCTTCTTCTACAGGATTTCAGTGTGATATAAGGGAGTACTTCATGGACAGGGATCCCTACCTCAATATGTCAACGTCACTGCCTGTTATTCCCTTCCCATAATTTTCTTTCTTTGAGTTTTGCAAGAGTTCCCTCTTAAAAAGCAAATACTCTTTGGTGGTGTTACACCAGAATTCTAAGGATTCTGCCTTTTGTTTTTGAGTCAGTCAGTAGGTTTCTCAATGGGTAGAACTCTGGGACTGAGTCCACATTCTTCCTCAGATGTTTTCTAGCTGTGTGATCCTGAGCAAGTCATTTAACCTCTCTCCCTGACTCACTTATGTTATCTGTAGAATGGGGATAATAGTAGTACCTACCTTCCGGGTTGCAGTGAGGAAAAAAATGAGATACTATCCGGAAAGTGCTTTGAAAACCTTAAGGTGTTATATAAATGCTAGCTAGTATACTCTGTTAGGGGTGCTCCTAAGACAAGTGAAGAATGAAGCAAGAGCTAAAAATATTTGGATTTGTTCCCAGGACACTTGAGGTGCAGAGTAGGCAAAGGAATCTTGGAGAAAGACACTTTAACATTTGTATAACATTTTAAGATTTGTGAAGGACTTTGTACATTATCTTTATCCTCACAACAAGCCTGGGGGATAGGTGCCATGGTTTAATATATAGCCAGCCTAAAAAGTCTCAAAAGGAAGAAACTCTAAATCTAGAGTAATTAAAGGTAAATCTTCAATATGGGAAGACAGAAATACAGTAGGATATAAAAAACTCATGAAATAATAAGGGAGAACTTATATACTTAAAGCTCCCACTCACCAACCCAACCCTCAGCCCACCATGTGCTCTGGGCACAGGCAGCCAGCTCAAGCAACCTGGCAAACTTCTATTTAAAGGGTCTAGTTGTAGGGGATCCTGCTTGGTTCTCCCATGGTAGTGAATAAATCTCAATCCCCTCTCCTTACCCTGTCTCTCCCAGCCCCTCCTCCATAAGAGTAAGAAGACATTAATTCTGCCCAGCCATTTGAAGGAAAGGGATTCCAGCTATGGCAGGGGTTAGAAAACTTGGCACTGCACAGCCAGCCAGAGGGGAAGAGGTTCCATGCCCAACAGAAAGGGGACTAGAATCCTACCTAGGATCAGGTCTTCTCTACAGAGTTTACTTCAAGCAGGGACCTAGCCAGATCCTCAGAGCTCCCAACCCAATTAGACTGAGAGGATGCCCAATCTCAAGGGGTCTGTGCAGAAATGGAAAAGGAAAGAGCTAGAAGAGATAGGAGGGAAGTCAGGAGTAAGCTAGTGGGAATAAAAGGAAAAATAATGAAAGACAAAAAAAACTAAGAGAGAAAGGCTGTGTATAAGTCAGATGCTGAACAGATAAAACAAATGTTACTCACAAAGACAGAAGAAAAACTGAACAACAAAAAGTTTTAAAGGCCATAAAACATAGTATAATAGCCTATGAAGGAAAGTGAACCAAAAATCTTCAGTGGAAAAAAGAATTCTGTGGGCTTCCCAAAGAAAATGAAACAAAAGAAAAAAACTACAGAATGATTCAAAAGAAAGATACAACTTTCAAAAGAAGATATTAGGATAGCCATCCATGCCTTCTCATTCATCAGATCACTTTGAAGGCCAGAAATAAGGACGCTTCTTGTCCAAGAAACTCTGGGTCACGGACAGAGCTTCCATAGGTTCCTGGAAAAATGCTGTCCTCAATAAATAGCTACTCTAAGTCCTATCCATGGACTTTCAAAGAATCAAAATATTAAAAGAATATAAATAATACCAAAACTGAATATATTTTAACAATTAATATTTCTTTGATGATTATGAAGGCACTTTAGAAGCTTGTTGTGGTTCAGGGTAATTATTATATTAGTAATAGGATGTACCTGTTAAAGATTATTTCCTATTGACAGAATTCCAAATAAACTAGTTTTTAGGGTATTTCTCTACTAGCACCTTACCCCTGATACCTAAAAAGAAAGATTGGAAATCAGAGCTCTCAAAGCTGAATTAACAAAGACAAACAACAGGAGAGAAAACTTAGAACACACAATGGAAAACTCTCCAAAGAAGTAGTGGTTCTGAGAAAGAAAATGAGACATTCTGAACCTTAAAAATACAGAGGTGGAAGCAACTTTGGCAGAGAAAAACAAAAAGACAATATATTGAAGGCACGTGTGAATTCTCTACCTAAGACACTCACTTGAAGGTGGGATAGTTACACATGTAACTTAAGAATCTTAAGAAGAACTTGGTAGAATTTAAAAACCAAAACCAAACCAAAACACCTGAGTACTACACTGCAGAGAGGAAAAAATAAAACTACCTAGAACGTCTGAATATAAATAAGAAGTTATTGATTGAATCTACATTTTGTGGACAAAGAAAAAGTTCATGCTTGAAACTTCAAAGAGCTTTTGAGGAAAAAACTGGAGGAAATGCAGAGGTAAAAGGGAAAGTCAGCGGTCACTTTCTATATGTCCTTTCCCTTCATCTTTCCTTCTCCTATTCTACCTCCTAACTCCTGCTTTTGGCTTCTT